AAAAAAAAGAGAGAGAGAGAGAGAGAGAGAGAGAGAGAGAGAGAGAGAGAGAGAGAGAAGAGAGAGAGAGGAGTACGAAGAGAGAGATGGGGGCTGGGTAGAGTTTAAATAGGGGAAAAATTAATAAAAAAAATTAAAAAAAATAAAATAAAATAATGAATGAGATGCGCGTGGGTAGTAGTTATTTTTGAAAAAATGAGGCGGGTGGGAACGTGGTTGTTGGGGTTTGACGGGAAGCAGAATAATTTGGGAGTATTTTCAAATAGTTTCAGGTATTTAAACGAAAATAATTAAAATAAATAATTTCGGGTACTTAAAAATTAAACTAATTACATAATAATTATCTACAAGTAAAAACGTACATGTTGAGCTAATACAACAGTTGATATGAAACTGTCGAAAATATACCCATATTGTACAATTAAACGGAAATAATTAATAATAAAAATATATTTACTTACATAATTATGTGATAATTATCTACACGATAAAACGTACCAGTTATGCTAATACGACAGCTGATATGTAATAATTAAAATAATACAATAATTTACATAAATAATACGTAATTAATAATTCAATATAATACAAGAATTAATAAGTAATAGTAATAATAATACGACGTATTATTTAAAATAATACGTAATAGTATCAGTAACACAACGGATAAATCCCAGAATTTTCATTACACTAAATTAATTTATAAATATAAAAAACCTTTTAAATAAATATAAAACTTAGACTTTAAATCATAGAAATTTCTAGAAAATCAAGAAAAATACAAATACTCTTTTAAAAATCATAATTAAATATTTTAAAATACCAAAAATTTATTTTAACTAGTATCAAAATTTTACGGCCATTACATTCTACCCTCCTTAAAACAAATTCCGTCCTCGGAATTCAAAATACGTGTGACGCACAAAGAACCCAAGGACAGGAATATGGAAATGAGGTCATAGCACGTCATGACAAATGTGTGAGCAATGTTGAATGAGGAAATGGATGTGTATATTATAAGTTATACAAGACAAAATAGAGAATAATTCATGAGAATCAAAAGTGAATAGTCAATACAAATATATAAAGCAAATCAAGGTCATAAGAAAGTCTGATATGTAGTATAAATAATAAGAATGATGTAAGTATACATAATTGAAAGAGATTGCTTGAGCATGTATATTGTAAATAAATAATTAATACGTATCAAATTATAATATAACACAACATCTAGACATAAGCAAAAATATAAATATAAGTCAACACAGTTTAATAGCAAAGAGTCGACAGCAAATATACAATTACATAAAATATAATATCAACACGAAATTATTGATATAGTATCATAAGACGACACATCACAGTGTTAAATACAATCAATAACACATAATTGGTAAAATATAACTAATATATAGCATACAAAATCTGATATGAAATATAAATATTTAATTTAATAAAATTGTCAATCACTAGAATATATGGTAGAGCGTATCAACTCTACAATATAAATAACAAAGAAGGTAAAAGATAAAATCTCAACAAAGTATAAATAATCATTCGTAAGCAGATGATGAACATGATAAATCACA